CCCTCCCTGGAGGCGGGAGGTGCTGGCGACGCCCGGGCCTGACAGCGGGCGCGCTCCGAGGCCTGTCCTGTACGTCCTGGGGTCTTCCCTCGCTTTTGGAGGAGCCTCTTGAATGTTCCCAGTTGCCGAGTTTCTCGGTGATGCCGGTGCGTGCCCTCCCTCCCGGTCCACTTTGCTCCATCCCGGGAGCAGCGTCCTGACTCGAGCTGAACCCTGAGTCCGCCTTTAAAGACAAATACATCTCTTAAAAGTAGGGTCGACTTGCTGAGGGTTTAGTTTGCTAACGAAAATAGCGAGTTGCTTTTCAGTGGAAGCTTGGGACAGGTGGTAATTCCTGCATTGGTTTGTGGACTTGGAACGCTTGACCCACTTTGTGTTCAGTCTGCTTTGCTGTCATACCCCCTTGTGTACGGCATTGCATATCAAATACTGAAGGAGTGTTTTCATTAAACATCTCTCATTCAGTTACTCTGACCAGCTCAATTTCAGGTTGTGTCCTTGTGCTCGGGTTTGGATGCTTTCAGGTCCTGAGCAGGTGTGATGAGGGTGTTTGGTACGCTGTGAACGTGCCTGTAGGGTAAACCTGGAAATTATTGATTTAAAGAAGCCTTTTAGAATAAACCCTCAGAATATAAAGAATCTATAGAAAGCACATTTTTCTTATAGTATGTGCCTGCGTGTGCCTTGTGTTTTCAGTAGTGCCTCAGTTATTTGCTAAAAAATGAACCAGAACAGGTGGAGTTGTGCTAGTTTGCTCTTCCTGACAGCTTTTTGTGCTCATACAGGTGGCTTATGTTAAATGTAAGAGCACCCCCCTTAAGCTTTCTAAAAGGAAAAGAACAACTTGCTGGGGTTCACCCATCCAATATTAAAGGAGAATTTTGACATTTTGTTTTTCCATTGTAACAGAATTTAATCTTGTATCTGAAAGTGTGTTGTCATGGAGCTTGTCTTGCCGATACTGGTGGGATTTGACAGGTGCTCAGAAGCACACACCCGCAGCGGTTTGTGTTAGCGGCTTTCAGCTTGGCGGTGTAAGTGTACAAAATCATCCTGTCTGCGGGGAAAAGGCTGACTGAATGCTATAGAGCAGTTTGGTTCTAATGTAAGTGACAGTGAGGAAGGAGGAGAAATCACTCTTGATCTATTTCTCTTACCCAGATGGTAGAGTTGTGTTGCTTTGGTGCTCTCACCTAGAGAAGTACTGCTAAGAGAATGCAGCTCCTGTGCATCTTTACCAATGAAGTGGTTGCGATCTCTTTGAAATTTGCTTTGAGGCTTAGCAAGTATTTAGTATTTTCTGTTTGCTAGCACAGGCACTGAAAACATTTGTAAGATGGCAGTTTCCTTAAGAGTGATGACCGATCAGTACAAACACTTTCTGCTTTGGTATCTCTTTAAATAGTAGAAGCTTGAATATCATTTTTCTTTTAGTTCTTCTGAATGAATGACTTTGCATGGCTGTACAGTGAGGCTGTAGGGTGATGTGTGTATTCCCCACTATACAGGTATTGTTTAATTGCTGCAGTTGACATTGAAATGAGCTGAAAATGCCAAAGAGCCCTTTGTTTGAAGAACGCAAACTTGATGCTCTCACATAATTTTTTTGAGAAGTCACTAGTTTTATTTTGGACTTTCTTCATCTCAGTTCTGACTGTCTGCCCAGTACACTTGTCATGGTGATATGGTTTGTTCGGTTGGTTGTTTGCTGTTTTTTTTGAAAACCGGTTCCCTCAGTCAGTTTGGCTTTTTCCATTATTTAATGTGATGGTGCAGATCATTTAGGACCGATTTATTTCTACAGTTTCAAAGTGTATTCTGTCTTTAGTATTAGTCTGTTCAAACTAGAGCTTCGTAAGGGTTTCCCAGAAAAATCTGAGAAATGTCCAAATGCATTTTGCCCAGACCGATGTTATCTGTGATTCTGATGCTGGGGAAAGCATTTTCTTCGTTTTGGTGACTTGCAGACTTCCACTGATGAGAGTGCTTCTGTTGATGGTTTTTGAGGAGAAGCTGGGAGGTAGAGGTTGACCCTCTGAGGAGAGAGTTCCAAGTGATGCTAAGAACTAGAGTTTCATCATGAGCAGTGTCGTGGTTTAGGGCTGGGCCGGCCACTGAATCCTGGACAGACGCTCTCTATTAACCCCTCTCCCCTCCCCAGAAGGGAAGAGAAAAGAGATTAAGAGAGAGAGACTTTGCGGGTTGGAAATTAAAGGTAACAGGTTTAGTAAAACAGTAATACTGATACTACAGGATAATAATGTAAATAGGAAAATAATGAAACATATACAAATACGTACAGATCTATATACAGAACCAATATAAAATCCTCCCCCCATGACAAATACGTCACCAGAGGCTCTGCAGAGCCGGGCACTGGAAAAGTCCCAGACCGAACTTGGCAGCAGTGGGAGCAGGATGCAGGAACACACGAATTGGGATCAGCAGCAAACAAACTAGCAGGGCTCTGCTCGGACCTCGGCCATTGCAGGATCGAGATGGACAGAACGGTCTGAGATGGAAGGACTCCAAGATGGAAAAAGGATCGAGACCCTCGTGGTCCCTCGGCTTTATACCGAGTATGACGTGTGTGGGATGGAATACCTTGCTGGTCAGTTTTGGGTCTCCTTCCCCCCTGTAGGCGCAGACACGGCACCCATGGTGAGACAATTGGCCTTGAACATTGTCAGTACACACTGTCTGGGAAAAACATGCTGCCAGTTTTTCAGCAAGTTCAGCCACTTAAAAGAGACTGAGCTGAAAAGGAAAATGACTAAATAGAACATTAGTTTTGTTTAGCTCAAACCAGGACAAGCAGCAAGATAAGACTGGATTTAGTTGCATTTAGGAGATATTTTAATAAATGTCACTCATTACACAAATAACTGTGTAGACAAATACTACTTTCTTCCTCTTGGCTTTTTTCCCCCTTTTTGTGTGAACTGAGCTTCTGCTGGTTTGTTTTTGCCTGTTGGTGCAGTCATTAAAACGGGGTATCTTTTCTTCCATCTCTAAATACCTGTTTTAATTGCGGGGGGAATGTTAGCAGATGATTTTGTTTTCTCCCTGTTAAAATGTTGAGTCAGGTTTTCATTTTTATTCTGTGTGTGCCTGTTAGTGTTTGGGAAATGGTACCAGGAGAAAGTCTGACCTCTAGAAAAAAAGAAAAACCATGCAGAAACCCCTGAGATGTCTTGCATTAAGCTTTCTCTTGACGGAAGGAAGAAGTCTGGTCGCCTGTATGCAGACATTCCCTTCCTCATGAGATATATATGTTTGTCTCATTTCATAGTTGTATTTCAGAGGTAAATGGCAATTGATGACCTGTTCTTTCTAAGTATTAACGCTTTGAGAGAGAAGGCTTGCTGGTCCACTGTTCCTAGCACTTCCAATCAAAATGCTTTCAAAGAATGCTTTAATTTTTCTTTGGCATTACAGGTGCCAGTGAAAGTGTGGGAAAGCACATGCTTGAAGCATGCAACAACAATCTGGAGATGGCTGTCACCATGTTTCTGGATGGTGGAGGCATCGCAGAGGAGCCCAGCACCAGCTCTGCAGGGGTGTCTGCTGTTCGACCACACACTGAGTATGTGCCCGATGAACATGGCTGTGTAAAGGAGTAGTCTGTCTTAAGAATTTAATAGCGTAAGGCAGAACAAATAAGACAATTATAACTTCTAACCTGCTGTCAACTCACTGTAATATGTGCTTCTTTATTAAATTGATTGCTCCAATATTGTTCTGGGTAAATAAGTTCTTATTACGTAAGTTGGTATGTAGACCGATGTAAGTTTGTCTCTCATGCATGTACTTCAGAAGTTTTCTGTAGCTTGTATGTACCATTTTTTGCAATACATACTGTGTTTTGCAGATAGAACTCAAGACAATAAAGCAGGGATCCAGTAGTAAGAGATTCTTACTTCTAAATTGCTCCAGCAATCTTGCTTTATGTTAATTTGGCAGTTAAAGAGTTCTGTTGTTTTGGTTCTTATAAATGTAGTGACCTTGGTCCCATTTGTAAGGGTTTTACTGGGCTAAGTGTACCCAGATTTGGCACTGGAAAGGCTAGATTGTGTTCGCTGTTATGCAGAGGAGTAAGCAACTACAAAGTCTGCATCAGTCTCTTACACATCAGGTGCCAGTAAGAGTAAGAGTTGTTCCGCTTGGGCCTCGCAGAGAATCTTTGAGTGCTGCCTGTTAATGTGTCTGCTTGGGATAAATGGAATATTTTGAGTGGAAGCTAATTGTTGTAAGTCACGCTTATTAAATGTTCTAAATTAAATCTAGCCATGCTTTCATCTTTATTAAAATCTTCAGAAAAAAAGACTACTAACTTTTAAAGAAAATTCTTGCCACTCATACTTCTGAAGCACATGTATAAATTGAAAGAACTGGTTTAGTACTAACCTTTATAGATGATATCAAGTGCCTTCCTGCTTGAACCTTTGACAGGTAATGAAGTTAAAACTCTGTATCTATGGGTATTAGAGTTCTTGTTTCTAGACAACTTCTGGCACATCAGTGACTTAAGATTCAAGTTTTTATTGGAACACTTTCTTTTTTTATACTTGACACCCTCCAGGTGCTGGTCAGCTTAGTGTTACTTCTAGGAAGAGAGAACAATAAATATGCAAATGCAAAATGGAGAATAACTAGCTTCACAGCAGCAATCAAAGATGTGGAGGTTAATAGCAAGGTTAGTGCATCTTGCTGACATTATAAGTTACTTTTTGAAACCTGCATGGCCAAGAGCCACAAACTGCACACTTTACAACTTCGAAGAGTCCAAGGGCAGAGGGCACTGCAGGAGTATTTGATAGTCAGGATATAGCAATGGATTTCCTTGGGTGAGCCCATGCCCACCTTCGCATAGATCCATGGGCCAGGTGACCGCACCTTTCTTCTCCTAGTCATGATTTCAGTCATCTAGCAGTCTCTGCAAGCATAATAATGCTGTTTAATTTTGAGGGAGCCCTGCTACATATGGAAGGAATTGCTTCAGAAATGGGAGGAAGTGGCCATTTTGACCCTCTTCTTTTCCTTCCTCTGGAAAACAGGGCTGTGAGTTTCAAGTGGAAGCTAAATGTCTTCCAACAACAGAAAGCTTGTAATAAGGAAGATTTAACCCCCCTGCCCCTGTGGAGATTATCAGGGGAGGAGGGTGGCAGGTGGTGGATTAATTAGCAGCCTTTGCTAAGTTTTCAGAAACTTTCCAAGTTTTAAGACAGTTACTAAAAAAGAAAAAAATGTTTGAATAGTAGATTGAGAAAGCCTGGGATTTAGTCACCCAGGGATCTGGGAGTCTTCTGTCAAGACTTAGAAAGGTCATCCATTCCAGCTCTTAATGCAGAATGTACTTAGTCCTGCTTCAGCGCCGTGAGTAGGAATGGATGGTCACTTGAGGTCTCTGTGGACCCCAAATCTCTGGATTCTGCAGCATCCTTAGCTGGTTCAAGTTGCAGGAGTCTTTGGAGCACAATGGGCTGTGGTTTATAGAGTACTTGGAATGTTATAATCTCTCTGATTTTATTTTTCTTTTTTCTTCCTCTTTGATAGGGATGAAGTACGAGCTCCAATTCCTCAAAAACAAGAAATCTTAGTAGAGCCTGAGCCCTTGTTTGGAGGTAGGCTTGTGTTCTTATTTTGGTCTTTTGCTTTCTTTACGTTGAAATGAGCTAAGTGGCAAAAGAAAACCAGAACTTGCTGAGTATGAAGAAAGCATTGTATGTATTTGTATTCTTTTTTTTTTCTTCCCTGCTGCAACTCTACTGCCATGTAACATGATTGTGTATTTGGAAATACACCAATGTTACTGAAAACCTCACACATCAGAGTTGCTACATTCCCAGTGGTACTAATTTGCTAACTCCTGTTTCATGAGACTTCGTGAGGCAACAGCCAATTAGCTGTGATAAACTCTATTCTGGGGGTTCACAACCAGTGACACTGCTGTGAAAGTGTTCAGGGTGGTGGGATAAAAGCTTGAGCTTTCACTGATGAGTGAAAATGAAGAGGACAAATGCATGCTTCTCAGGGAGATGACAGATCAGAAAGAAGGAAGGGCTGAACTGTGTAATTACTCTTCATTTTCTCCATTTCTCATTTATGAATTTAATTTCTTCTCTAAACTGCACTGTGCAGCTAGTTTTCTTGTTTGTTTTCTCAAGCTGTTTATCACTTTTGCTTTTGAAACAGTTTTTTCTCTAAGGAAGCAGGCATTGGAAATCCTGTTTTCTTTTGGGTGCTTGACTAAAACACTGTTCAGTACTCATGTAATACACTGATGTTCTGAATCTCAAAACCTCAATCGCAGGCCGTGTTATCTTACTGGTTCTTTTACAGCAACACAGAGGTGGAACTTCTGTAGCAGGACTAGATTGTCTAGTGCATTATCCTCTCCTTTTATATAGCGTCTGCATGGAGATCTAAGGCTCCCTTCTTTTTTAATGCTTAGCTTCTTCTAACCTTGTGAGGCTCTGTCCTTCTCACGTTGACCACGCCGTTTCTGGCTGGCTGGGTGGCTTTTGCCATGTCAAGTGAATTGAGCGTCTTGCCCTTTTTATCGAGGAAGGGCGTTCAAGTGCTTTTCTTTAAAGTGGTCTCATACCCATAGGAAATGCTCTTTTCTATTGTTTCATTCCTGTGCTAGAAAGGAGGAGGAGGCCAAGCTTCAGGTTTACTGTGGAACTGTTTTTCTATTGGTCCTTTTTTTCAACATGAGAGAGGTCTTTAGGTCTTTAGCCAGGATGCACAAGCAGAGAGGTGGTTCCAGAGGAAGATGCCCTGCTGAGGGCTCTCTGAAGATGCTGCACCAGCTTACTCCTCTGGCTTTCTCCCAGCAGAGTTTTTGACAAAGGTCTGTCAACCAGGTCCAGACATAGGATCTGGATAAAAGAGTAGAAAGTAAGAGAAATGCATTGTGGAAAAACCGAATGTGTTTCCTAAAAAAGAAAATGTTCTCCCATGGGGTGTAATCTTTTGAACTTTTTCATCTACTTGAAGGCCTTCTGTCAAAATTTTGAACTGGAATTGTGATGTGTTGATCCTGTGACTGCACTTCCACTTTGTTCTGATGGGCTTGGGTGAGCCCATCAGAAAGGGCTAACTTTAAATTTTTGTTTATTGTTGATACATGTTTTGTTTCTGAGGTGAGGTTTGCTGGAGGGAGGATGTGTTAGGGTCTTCAAGATTACCTATTTCTGTCTTCCTCCAGCCCTTCCTAATGACCTTACATCATTCATGCTTTGGATTCCTATTTTGTTGTCCCACGCATGTGATGGAAAGTACTAATATGTAATTATTTTGATAGCATACTTTGGAAATAATTGTTGAATTTTCTTTTTCCTAAGCTCCTAAAAGACGCAGACCTGCGCGCTCAATATTCGATGGCTTTCGGGATTTTCAAACAGAAACCAGTAAGTGTCTACAGATCAGTAAGCGAGAGCTTCTGTGTTTTTTTTTAATGCAAGAAAGATTGAAAAATAGTTTCTCTTGTAGGCTATGACAGCTTTCAGTTGTTGAATGTGTTCTAATTTGCCTACTGCGTAGTAGAAGGGTGTTTTTAAGAATATTATTAGGCTGTTCTGGGGTGACTGAAGGGAAAGTGCTGAGTAATAGACATATGAAGCAGGTAGTGAAGATGCTGGTCCAAACACTTGCTTGTGTTACTTACGTAAACCTGCAGGCAGTATATATTACCTGCTTTTGTGTGGCAAATATTTTCTTGGTAACTCTCAAAAAATACTTTCTCTTCTCTAGAAGGAATCTCAAAGGGGAAAAATTCTAACACACAGTAGAAATTAAGTTCATCCACCGAATTTTTCTTGGCTAGCCACTGGTCGTGCTGGCACTTGAATTATGTTAGAGTAGCCCTAAGAGTTCTTCCTTGGCCACATACAAGGTTCTCATGAATTTAATTGATGTTTACCGCTGTCTGTCTGTTCATACACAGAATCTCCAAATGCCAAAGCATTGGCTGTTATTTAAGCCATTAAGTTTTATAGAACAGGATGCTTTGACAGCAGAACACCAGATACTTCACAGCTGAGTTAGAGGTGTTGTGCAGTTATCACTGATGTTGCTGGAGTGTTTAAGAGTTCTTAACTATGGACCTGATTCCTGCATAGTTAGGTGCTGTTGGATGTTGAACTGAAAGTAAGCATTCATAATTACTTTCCTTCCCCTGACAGGTTTGGTCAGGATTTTCCAGTAATAATGAACTCGTCAAGTACTAGAATCACTTGCAGCTGTGTAAAGGAAAATAGCCCATTTACAGAATCGTCATACCCTTACATTTCTTTTCCATTATTTCCACTTTCTTGTAAGACATTTAGAGATGCACGATATGTAAAACCATTGTGAGGGTTTACGATGAAACTTTATCATGCTTTTTGATAAAACTTCATAGATGAATATCGCTGTCTGGCTCTCTCTGACAAAGTGGCCCTGACCATGAAAGTCGGTATTTGTACCAGGTTCTTATTCTGCTCCACAGAGATGCTTTTTCCCTTGTGGGGATCCAAAGTCTGCTCAAAAATGGTTTGTATGTTATAGCCCAGTGACAGCTCCTTTCACGACTGGAAAGTTTTTGATCGTTGGGTAGTTATTCCCCATTTCAGCTGAGTTGGTTCCACAAAATATGTTGTATCACTGCATATTTAGGTAAGCAGTTGCTGTGAATTACCTTTATTGTATATAATCACATGCGTGTAGGATATATGTTCTGTATTATTTTGAATGGAATTGATGCCACTAAAAGAAACCTGCTCAAAGTCTGGTACCTGGGGATAGAAAAGTCTGAAAACCCACTCACCTGAAAGAGACAGTGGTATCTGGAGTGACTGTGGGAAGAGCAGATATTTAATATAAACAACTAAAGGTGTTTCTCCATGTAAACTAAGTCTTTCTGTTTCTTTTCTGTGGAATTGCCTTACAGTCAAGAAATAGAAACACTGGAATAAAAATACTCCAAGTACAACTTGTGATGCTACAATCTAGCTCAGTTCTCCCTTTCCTTCAGCTCCACTGAGGACATGTCACAGCTTTTTTTTGCTCATTTGTTGTCAAATGCTGGCACATGAGCCCCTCTGCTGATGTTTTTAAGAAGTGAAATGAATACCCAGTGCTTGAGAAAGCTAGGGCAAGCAGGGTTCTTACCATACATAGCAGCTAATCTTGTTCAGTGGGTTACTTTAGAGCTGAAGTTTTGTGTATGAGCGTATAGCCAATAATAAATCCATCTTGGAAGTATTCTAATTCAGCTTCCTTTCCTCTTGGGGCTGTGCAGTTCGACAGGAACAGGAGCTACGAAATGGAGGGGCAGTAGATAAGAAACTCACTACTCTAGCAGACCTCTTCAGGCCGCCCATTGATCTGATGCACAAAGGCAGCTTTGAAACGGTAAGTTTGGAAATTCTAGAGATAACTGCATTCAGCCTTGTGTTAGGCTGCTGACACGTGTGTATCCATTTATCAGAAAGTTACAAAGGACCGTCTAGTGCTAAATACTTGATGGACTGCATATGAAAATGTTGATGACTTAGTGAAAGACTTAACTAATGATGATGGACCTCATTGTTTATGTTTCAGTGTCAGTGTGGGAAATCACACTTGATGAAAGACTTCAGTGCCAAAAGGAAGCTGGTCAAAATGGAAAAACAGCATCCCTTAAAGTATCTCTGTATGAGGTGATCGAGTACTTTGCAAGGTGTCATGTAGTTAGTGGCACAGCCCTGCTAAGAAGCTCAGGTGGTTATTTCAACACTGCTAAGTGGTTTGTGATACCTGAGCCGGTAGAAGTATTTGAGTGTGGCTTTGTCATGAAGGCACAACATTATTTCCAGTAGAGCCCGTGATTTCTAGATAGTCTTCAGAAGTTGCAGTTCCTACTGAACTTCGACCTGGTCATCTTTAAGTAGCTGAGATTTATTATTGCTATCTGACGATTTCATGAGAATGCAAACTATTGATCAAATGGTGCAATACAGATGCTACAAATAGTGCTGGAGATCTGGCTCCATGAGCTGAACAAAAATACTATTTACATTCTTTTCACATTTGCTTCTACTGCCATGCACAAATACTGGAGCGCTGCTGGAGACTTTTTGGAGAAATGCTGTGTGCCTTCATTGAGTCTCCAGCTCTCATCCTTTTGGCCTTATCTCTCTTTTTGTGCTTCCCAAATCACCAGGGATCAGTTGGCTTGTCACTAATTCCTGTGTTCTGACAGTGCCCTCCCTGTATTTAACCTTTTAACAAAATTCCAGGTTTGAGAGGACGCTGATGGAGAATAGCCATGTCTGCCTCGGCCAATGATTTGGTGTAGTGGAAGCAGACGAGCAGACTAAAGTAGTCGGTGCTGAGGCATCGCTGCCTCGTGATACGTGGATCAGGGTTTACTTCAAAGTTGTATCAGGTCCTCCAACTGATACCTGCTGGGCCTGTGAACCCTGCAAATGCGTGGCTAAAGGCAACAGTAAAGAGAGTTCCCGTGAAAACAGCCAGTGCTGCTCCAGACTGGGACACGGCCAGTCAGCGAGTGCCCTCTGTGGAATCTGAGAGGTGTGTTAGTCTTTCCGTGTGCCGTGCTGAAAACATACTGAGACTTTAGCAATGTTGACTGTGGTGGATGAAAAGTAGTTTCAGAAGATGAAATAACTGATTGGTCGGTTCGATTGTCCTGAAGTCTCAGTGTTATTCACTCTTTTAAATAAAACAAATGAACAAACAACCACCCAACCAAACAACAACAACAACAACACAAATGACGGGGCGGGGGTGGGGTGCTGTGTATACATACCTTGTCCTGTTTTTGCAGTAGCAAAATTTGAAGACATGTACACCTTCTGGAATTGGTGTTTCTTTTTGTGTTCTTGTACAGTTCCTTGTCCCATGGGATACCCTTGATTTTAAACTGATGCTCCTTAACTACATTGCAATAAATATCTTCAGCTTCTCAGTTTGGTCACCAATTGCCCCTTCCATTTTACCTTTTCTGACTGTAGACTGCTGTACTGCTTCAGCCTGGGGCAATGTCTGGTCTTCTGTGGAGCTGGTGACCACATTCTCTCAAAATTAATCTCCAGCAAGCTCTGTTAGCTTTTTCCTCCTCTGTATGCTTAAACATATATAAAAAACATAATAAATCAGAGATGTTTATCATGTTCCCCTGTCATTTTGATGCTCTTGTAGTTTAGTGTTAAGCTAAGTGGGGTTTTCTATTGATGATTGCTGTGTGGTGTGCCATGTACGTGTATCATAGAATCATGGACTCATTTAGGATTTACGACTTTATTCAAACTTGGCAAGAGTGGTGGTGTCTTGTCTTACTAAGGTTTTCATGTATCTTTGTGGATTATCTTTTGTGCTTCTCTGAGTCTCTAAGGTCGATTTTGATAGTAAGTAGATTTAGTTATCTTCGGTTTTACCCCAGGAAACCTCATTTTTCTTCACTTACAGGGCATGTTTGTTATCAGTAAGGTACAAAAAGTTGCCATTTCATTTTAATGCAGTAACTGGCTTTTAAGAGTAGGTGAGAATTAACAGTCCTTGAAAAGAAATTTTCAAGCGTTGAATTAAACAGTTTTTCTTTAACTTGTGGTCTGTGTAAAAGCAGTGTGCTTCACATCCAGAACAACTTACAGAATCACAGAATCGCTCGGTTGGAA